GCATGTGGTGCTGGGGGATTGAACCGTGGTCCCTTTGCTTTGCTGAGCTTGTTCTAAGTAGGTGCTTTAGACCACTGAGCCATCTCACCAGCCCCCCCTATTTATTTTTGAGACAAGGTCTCAATGTAGTTCAGGCTGGCCTTGAACTTACTATGTAGCCTAGGCTGCAGCAACTTTTAAAATGAGGTAATGACAATGAATATCTCTAGTGAAAGTACTCAGCTGTGGCACCCAATCATGTAGTTCCCTTTGTAGCCTTCCTTTAGGGTGACAGCTTATTCAGGATGAGGCCTGTCAGCATGGTTGCTGCTTCCATTAACTCGCCTTTATGGTCTTTAACAGCCCTGAGCACCTTAGACCACGTTCAGCTGGAAAACCAAGCAACTTTCTCCCATCCACGTACCAACCAGGCCCGACCCTTCCAAGATCAGATCGGGTGCATTCAGGGTGGTATGGCCGTAGGCACCAAGCACATTTCTGAATGGGTAGGTTCTTAAGACAGTCTTCTAGGGATGACTAGTAAGAAGTCACGCTTAGACTGAGGTAGGATAAGAGACAGATGTCTTCTATGGACTGTGTCCGTGGCCTCGTGGCCTATCCTGATAGTGTGTTTCTGCCCTAGGGCAGAAACCTAGTACCTTTGACTTCTTAACCCATCTGTATACCAAAGTGTGATAATAGCTACCAGTTTTGAAACTTTGGGAGCTTTATTTAGTACATTGTCTCTAGCCAAGGATGTAGTTTAGTGGCACAGCACTTAAAGTACAAGTACAAGGTCATGAGTTCAATTCCTGATACCAGAACCCCCAATCAAATTAATAACAATATACATTGTCTTGTATTTGCAGTGATGTGACAAAAGTAGGTCATGTTTTCATCATTTTACATGCACAATTGAGGCACAGAGACAATAAGTAACTGTCAGGGTTCCTGGCTAGCAAATTGTATAGCTGTGTTTAGACATACGTCTGTTTCATGTCAGAGCCCAAACCACATTTCTGGTTTGTCTCTAGCAGATTAGTTTAGACCGTTTGATATGCAGACAGATAGTGAGGTTAAGCTTAACAGACTAAGTTGTATGGTAATAACAATAAGCTTGTCTTCTGGATGGTTAACAACCTAAGTTTGCAGACCAAAATTAGAGAAAAAGGAGGGCCTCAAGGAAAGCCAACATTTTGGCCCTAGCCTTCCAAGGTCAATTAAGACTCAGGACATATGAGAACGTGTACTGTAATGTCATGTAACTCAGTAGTGTCCCAAATTTTCTGATCAAGGAGATTATGGGGCCAAAGAGGAAAGTGATCGATGTTGTAGAGTGTGCCTAAGGAGAGTCACATGGAGAGAAAACATTCTCTCAGGCTTTCACAGAGAGCACATTGGTCAAGCAATGGCCGTGATTCATCCA